CAGATCGTCTCCGAGCTCTCGTAAGGAAACATTCACATGCTCCATCGATTGCGGCAACTAACGCAACATTGTGTAGGCACAAAGCGGCGACTTCCCACATCTGCTCGTATACGGTCCTTCCGGTGCAGGAAAGAAGACGCGCATAGTTGCAACACTCAAAGAGCTCTACGGCCCCGGTGTCGAAAAGATCAAGATCGACGCACGCGTCTTCCAGACCACCACGAACCGTAAACTCGAATTCAACATCGTCGCTTCCGTATACCACCTCGAAATCACACCTTCAGATGTCGGAAACTACGACAGAGTGGTCGTCCAAGATCTGCTGAAGGAGGTTGCACAGACACAACAGGTCGACTTGGGTGCAAAGCAGCGCTTCAAGGTCGTAGTGATCAACGAGGCAGACCATCTGACAAGAGATGCGCAGGCGGCGCTGAGACGTACCATGGAGAAGTACAGTCCCAACTTGCGACTGATCCTGCTCGCCAACTCTACGAGCAACATCATCGCGCCCATCAGGAGTAGGACGCTACTTGTGAGGGTTTCAGCGCCTACAGAGACCGAGATCTGTAGTGTGTTGAGCAAAGTGGGCAAGAAGGAGGGATGGAAGGATGTCGAGAGTCTGAACCAGAGGATAGCGAAGGATAGCGGGCGAAACCTGAGGAAAGCGCTGTTGATGTTCGAAGCAGTGCACGCTCAAAAGTATGGCTTCATCTCCTTCTACACCTCCAGTCTCATGCTAATGTATCAACAGCGAGAAAATCACAGACCAGACGCACATCCCACCGCCCGATTGGGAAGCTCTCATCCAGCAAATCGCCCGCCAAATCGTCGAGGAGCGATCTCCTCAACGCCTTCTTCAAGTCCGCGCGTCACTCTACGATCTGCTATCGCATTGCATCGACTCCACGACCATCATAAAAACGCTTACCTGGAAACTCATACCAATGACGGAAGATGCGCTGAAGCCTGAGGTCATCAAGTGGGCAGCGTTCTACGAGCACAGGTGTAAGATGGGCGCCAAGCAGATCTTCCATTTGGAGGCTTTCGTCGCAAAGTACATGAGATTGTACGAGAGGTATGTACTGGACTCCAGAAAGTCAGGCCTACACTAACAACTGTCGCAGCTACGCCATGGGCATCGATTTCGATTCATCATAGTCGCATATTCACACACATACGGTCCAGGCGTGGAGGAAAAGTAGATAATGTGTCATCATACCAGGGTGTTCTGGCGCTGCAGAGCGCGTCTCGCGTTCGGCGTTTGGTGGTTACGTCATAGCATGGAGCTTTCCCCATACCTCGAGTTTCTGAGCTTCAATACCACTATCATCTCACACAATCCAAATTCTTGTACACGTCCTCCGCACACAAATCTTTCCATACCTACGAAGAACAGTTCCATACGTGCAAACATGTCAGACAAACTCATGGACACCGAGCCCGGCGGCGAGCGCCAGAACCAGTACGAAGGCGTTCACACATTTGTTGAGCCTCACGCGAAGGAAGCCGGTCAACTAGGCGGTATACCTTCCCCTCTCTTCCTCTCGACGTGCAACTGCTAACCAATGCTTTCCGCAGACCCTTCAACAGGCACCTCAGTCAATAAGAAGACCTCCGACCCCGGCGCGCCCAACACCCAAGGCATTACCCCCGCAGACAAGATCCGATACGGACAAAGTATCCAAGAAGGCGGTATGGGTGGCAAGACAACAAGTTCAACGGGTCAAGCGAACGCGGAAGGTACGTCAACAGCAAATAAGTGCTGTAGTTGTGGATGGCAGGCTAATCATAAGCAGGCGGATTCGGTGGTACTGAAGCGTTGAAAGACGATGATGAGAATGCGGCGAAGCAGAGGAGAGAGCAGGGATACGGTGGAAACAAGGACATGGACAGGACTATCGGCGCATAGTGACAACAGGCTAGGCTTCACGAAATGAAGAACATGAGGGATGGATGCAACCCAACTATGATCACTTGGAGGACGGAATAATTTCAAGCAGAGCATGGACACACACACTAGTATACATTGATGATACAAAACGAGTACCCCGTCTGAGAGTGCCCATCTTATCATTAGTCCCAAACGCCATCGCTATGCAGCCAAACCCGTGCGTTACTCATACAAAAAGTGTCTAAGAAAGAGGTGGGATATCAGAGCAGAGATCAAAACCAGATCGAAGAAATGCAAGAACCTTCCACACAAGCACATGAAGCCAACCTCAACGTCTCGTAGCATCGTCAGCCCTCTGCTCGACTTTGGCCAACTTTCTCGCCAACGCTCTTTCTCTTTCCATAACGCTGGCTAGAGTGTCACCTCTCTTCGTTATTCCACCAAGATCCGGTGCTCCGGTCGGCATCGTGCTGCCCATGTCTCCTCGGCTGACCCCGTTTCTACTGCCACCACCCCACGCACCAAGGCCCCATCCTCCGCCTGGAGCTACAGTCGGCCTGGTTGGCTCCCTGCTAACGAGCGCACCAGGTCCGTGGCCATACATGCTGACCCGTTGTACCTTTCGAAGCCTCGACAGACCGTATACAGCGACAAAGAAGCCGAATACTGAGCACCAGGCGCTGATGCCGAAGAAACCAAGATCGGACTCTTCGATGAAGTTCTTCAAGTTCATGCCGTACAGAGCGGCGACGAAGGTTCCGGCGGTGATTGCGAGGGTAAGGATCGAGAACTTGAGGTCGAGAAGCATGAGGGAGTTGCGGTTGGCATCGAGAATGGCTTTGACGCTGTGGATGGTTAGTGACAGGAGACTGTACAAGAAGAATAGACCACATACATCTCCTCGGTGTTCCTGATGCTCGACACCAAGTTCTCAGCTGCTTGAACGATTTCGTCGGCGACCTTGTGGTAAGATTCCAGGAGCATCTCGACTTCCGTGTGATCGTCGTCTTCGCGCGTCTTACCCTCAGCCTTCTCAGTCAAGTACATGGCGCTGAGATCATCGTCCGCTTCCAGCAATTCTTCGAGCGCATTCCTGACTAGTCGTGCCTTTTGTTCGAAACTACCCAGCTTCTTACTGTAGATGAGCAGGTACCGTAGCTTATCCCTATCGATGTCTTCCTCGAGCTCCCTGAGAACTCTCACCACTGGCTCACTGACACCTTCGAACTCCTTCTCCAGACTCAATGTTACGCTTATGAGGACAGCTTCAAGAGCTCGGAATTCGTAGGCGAGGGTGCCGTTGACTGTGGACTCCTTCTGGCGGAGTTTGAGATCGAGATCGTACATGAATACAGACTGTGACTTTGAATCGGTGGTACCGTATGCATCAAAGACAAGGACGCGGTTGTGCTTGAGGAGGACACGAAGGTTGAGGAGGTTTATTAGGATCGCAGACGGCCGGACGAGAATATGTGGGAGGAGCGAGGAATCGATTTTGCGGAGATCGCGAGGAAGTAGACCGTACTATTCTCAAGTATCAGTTGTATGATCTGGATAGACTCGTTGCCATGCGTACCTTAGCGATCAGCTCGCTCTTCTTGAACTCTCCACTGACAAGTGTAACGTTGCCGTGCTCGTCAAGTTCCGTGCAACGCATCTTGAGCTCGTTCGTAGGTCGCATTATACGTCCCAGACTGCTGCCGAACCCTGTTGAACCTGACGGAGTTTCCTCTGGTGGCGGCTGGGGTGCTTGCAATTGTGCCAGTTTTCGCATCTTTGCTGAATTGAAGATGTTCCACCCATTGTTCGAAGGTGTCGTAGAGAAACTGCGATGACCCTGAGGGTCTAAGTCTCGAACTGAAAGAGCCGTAGCCTGTGGAACAGCAAGCGAAGTCTCGAGGACTGGTTGCGAAACCTTCCTGGCCAGTAGACATTGCGAAGTTGCGAACGTCCTACTGCCCTCTCTCCTCTTGCAATTTGATGTCTTTATCCTGCATGTCGCATCTCCAGGAGCCCATCTCGTCCCAGGATTCGTCCCATATCCACGTCGTTGCTGGGTTACTTGTGCGCATTGCGCCAGCGGTCGCTCGAATGCATTGGTGACTTGGGCCCTCAGGAAGCTCAGAACCGACGGTGATGGGGCGGCGACTCTATGAAGCAAAGTAGGCTTCATAACTTTCCATACGTAGAGTTCCGTATACGGCAGCGATCCATACGGTCGTTGTTGAAGTCGTTCGTGGATTTCGCTCACGTCTCGCCCGCACGTCATTGGCGTTCGGCGATCTTGGAAAATCATTTTGCGCTAGTGACGTCACGTGCGGCCGCGTTCATCCCTGTGCATCGTTCGCAAACCATGACATTGCGAACACGACGTCCATTTTCTGCTTTGGGTATACCCCTATTGATGATATGTCTCATCTGATCTATAACGCGCTGATACGAACCCATCACATAACCTCCCGCAAGAAAGTGGCCAAGTTGAAAGCTGCCGCATCCAACTGTCACATATACGCTCTACTACGTTACGGTGGCTGTCCAGGGATCATGTATTGCCAAGGCTCTGAAACAGGTGTAAAGGAATGGGTAGCAAGCGTTCAGAGGCTGCGTTACAGGGATTTCCAGCTGGTTAAGAAGCCTGCTGGAAAGGAGGCTGAAGGGAAAGAGGCGGAAGAAAACGTCGCGTATGGAAAATTAGAAGAAGTGGAGAGTGTGAAAGATTTCGGGGTTAGTATGCAGAAGATGGGTGTCTGGAGCTGGTGGAGGAAGGGCATGGGCTACGTCGGTGACGACTCAAGCTTCTGATCACTGAAGGCTATGAACTTGCAATCACCGAAGGGTCGGTAAAGGAGCTTCCACGATAGGTGAAGTCATTACCTCAAATCCGGTGGCGAACAGACAACGTCGGGGAAGATGGCATCGCTCAAGCTTCTCTCACCTGCCTGGCAGCTTCGCCTATTGCTAGCTGATCGTCCAACCGGTAATATTTATACCTACCGCCTACGTGATCTGTTCCAGGACTCTATCATCAACTCTACCCTATACTTTCGGGTATACATTATCGACGAAGCATCCCTCAAAGACCATCACGAGTCTCCAGGCCATCTACATCATGACAACACCATCCAGTGCTGTCAGCCCTCGCGATAGCCTACAAGATACATCAGATGTTCAGTCCATCCAGACTGATAACAACGACGAATCCATCTTTGGCAGCGGGCAAATCGATGATGGGCCATCCGACCTCCAGAGCAAGAGAAAGATCACCGATCCGAACCTCGAAGTAATTACGATCGACAAGTACTACGACCTCACGTTGATAGTAGGATCCCCGGAGCATGCTGGTGGTCAAAAGGCCTATCAAGTCAACAAAGGCGTCTTTCGACATGCTAGCAAAGCCTGGAACGCCATGATGAGCGGCAATTGGGCTGAGAGCGACATGTCCGAGATCACCTTTCCCGAGGATTCAGCCTACGCCTTCCATATTGTCCTCCGAATCGCTCACTGGCAACTTCAAGAGCTACCTGTAACGCTGTCGCAGCAGGAGCTCGTATAGATCGCGGTCCTGTCAGACAAGTACGACCTCGAGCGTCTCCTTCATGCTGCAGCCGAGTTGAAGAACTGGATCCAACAACACAAAGACGGTGGGACATCGTGGCCTTCTGACATCGATCTTCAAGACTTTACGATGATTACGGCCGCGTTCGGGCTCACGACTGACTACGAATACCTGGTTAATAAGCTGGCCATGGAGATCTCTGTCGATAAAGACAAGCGTTACTGCGTGGCACACGATGATAAGTTGGTGCATGTCCGAGCTGACTTCCCCGCCCGTATCCAAGGTGAGTACACAGGCCGAGATCAGTCAAAAAAAAAAGATTGGACAGCCCGGAGCCCACGTTGACGTTGAATCATCTACTTTGCATGTTTTCATCTTGATCTAGGCTGCAGGCCTGTTCAGCATTTCTCCTTGCACGATGCCCTACTTTTACTATCCCATAGATGCTAACCTTTAACATAGCTCAAGCCGGTCAAATTCGTACTGCCGTACTTCAAGAGCTTCTACAGACATGCAAAACCGCCTTGCATAACACTTTCACCAAGGACGTCGGCAAATGTGGATCAAAACTTTGTCCATTGACCCAATTTGGCTTGGCAACTAAAGCATTGGATGCTGCAAAACTTTATCCACTTCCTGAAAACGATTCGTCGATGGATTTCAGTGTCTTGGCATACTGGGCCTTTTTGAATAACACCGGAACCGACTATGATGGTCTCCTACCACCCCGCTGCCGGGCCGCAAAACTCAATTGCGTAGGAGACTACGGTATCCTGAAGGAAGCTCGCGAGATCATCAAGCGCTGCGCCCACCAGGATCTCTGGGCCGGATGGAAGGCCGTATGTATGCGTTATCCTTTGACTAAGATCTCCAACTAATGATGGGTAGAAGCAGTACATCTGACCTGATGCCATTCGTTTCTATTCTTTTGCCCTCCCTGACTATCTCCGGGCTGAACATTTCTTTTCATCTTACATCGAGTCTTTCCAAAAAGTTACATGCTCTCTATTCCCAATCTTCACTGTGGCAGTTTAGAATTACTCGATTTTAGCTAGAATAAAAGTTCGTCTCTGTGAAATTCGTGCCACAGCTTACAGTATACATGCTACTGTAACTCAATAACTTCACAGACCATGAGGTGATGTAGACTCCTGCCCTGATACATTCTTTAGAAAATGCGAACCCTATTGTAGCTACCCCTAGTCACGTGCTTATCCCAACCGGATCTTCCTGCGGACTTTATGAACCTCTTCTCGTTTCAAGTCGTGACAACTCGCCAACAGGCAGACTCGCTCCCAATGGTCTCCAAAATTTCGGATGAGGAGTGCGCATCCATCACCGGGGAACGAATAGAACGACCCCATTTTGACACCTCCTCTCACGCTCGAGTCATCGAGTTCGGGGAAATGTAATGCCAGAAGTGAGTCGACGGGGATACTCTCCTCGGTCTCTACATTAGACTCTGTGTAGCTTGAGATTTCCACTGCACCGAAGTACTTATGCTCATCGTGAAATACCGTTGATGCGTCGATACGGAAGTAATGAACACCCGCGTCGTCCCGCTGCTTTCGAACGATCCGAGATGTCAACGCATCGAGGTGGATGAACCGACTCAGCCGATCAGCGTTTTCATTCGACGATCGAACTTGAGTGTAGTCTTGCAGGTTTGCATCGTCGGCCTGATAATGGGACCACTTCAAGAGCCGACCAGATGCAAGTTCTACCTCGATATGAATGGCCTCCTCTTTAGTCATAGGTACGCGATACACAGTCTCCCGGTGCATGTTAAAATGTTGTACACAAGCGTTGCAACCAGTCCAGGACCAGCTTGGGAATCCTTCCCGGCGAGAACTGGGACCAGTAACGATCCAGCGCAGATTAAAATCGAACCTGAGAAAGGTGGGAGTCGCTGACGCTGGGAAGGAGTTAGAGAACGGAACGCCCCACAGATGAGAGATACCATGTTCCCGCCGATAGTATGCCAAGATACCCAGTAAAGCGTTGAGAATATCGCCCTGATACGTCAGGGTCCGTGTGGAGTAGTTGGAGATGCACTCCCATTCATGCAGTTTTCCGAGTGAGTATTTCCTGAGATTCTTGTCCCGCGCAGTCCGCACAGTTTCCGGAACTGGATATCCAGTACGCAAAGACTCGGGCAGAAACTGCTCCAGACTCGCTTTGGCAATTACCCCTATCTCCCCTTGAACGCCTTCAGCTGACCCGAAGAATGTCTCCTTATCCGTGAAGTAGATTTGTCGTTGCGAGAGGAGGGCTTCTTGATACGTCCACGCACGTGTCGCCCAGATGCTAGAATGAATCTCGATAGACTGTGATAGCGCTCCTATACAGCCAAGTCCAGCAAGTTCGATAGAAGGATTCGGATTTCGTCGTCTCGAAATGCCCGGCAAACCATAGTTGGGATCGTTCCCTGCACATGCCACAATCGTGAGGAACGAGTTTTGGTATACTTCGTCCATCCTGCTGATCTGCAGACTTCGAAGATGGCTACTTTCAGTTGATATACAATATCTGTCAACCCATAGATAACGGATACTCAGCGCGTTGCAAACATCGATGCTGTCTTGGATCGTATCTGGAAGATGCAGGGGCAACGGGTTACCGTTGGTGTCATCTAATGTAGGCTGAACAGCACGTCCCCAGACGTAGCTCAAGGTTGCGTAAAGCTCTTCTTTGGGCAAGGGCACAAGCGTGCGCGTAGCACAGTCGATAACGGTGAGAGCTAAGCTCGCGTCATCCTTTCTGCTGTACCACCGAGCTTGTTGCGTGCATCTTTTTTTGTCTAACCAATGAGATATCGGTGCTAGATCCAGGCTTGGGGTCGGTACTTGGAGCTTGTGAGTTTGTGACTCTCCAATAGACACACACACAAATGGTGAGACTTCAACACGTTCGGTCCCCGATTCGAGCTTGTCACAAAAGACGGTCATCCGTAGACCTCCTAAGCTTCCCTCTTCTTGCTTAGGCGAGTAGCATTCGACATATAAATGTGCAGGATTTCTCGCGTCAGGGGAAGATGCAGAGTACATATCGATGGACCATGTGCCATCCGCGCCGCGTACTTTGCATCGTTCCGGTAAACGTTCCATGAAGAAATCGCATAGCCCACATCCTCCCGGTTTTATGTAAGCATAGTATCTTCCGTTGTGATCAGGAATTCTAGTATTCTTTGCGTCGGCAACGCCAAACAGACGCTCAATATCAAGTTTTTGGCAGTTTTTGCAAAACGAACTCGGATTGACGAGCATCATTGTCGTAACTGGAAGACTTCGTCTTTGTGGTGTATTTTGAAGGTAAAATATGATGTGTTCTCGGAAAAGCATGGGTTGCGACCTGCCAGCGTTTGTAGAGTATGGACCGAGCGCTATCTGCGACAATCTCGCTCTTCTCTGTGAGGAAGCCGCTTCTGTAGCTAAGAGAAAAACGATCAGGAAAATGCGATCATGATGAGTGCATGTTGCAGAACTGTAGGTTTGTGTGAAATCTTCCGTGGAGTAGAAGGCTGCATCACTGTTGCCTGTTGTTTCGCTTACGGCTGAAGATCACACCTGCAGGATGCCACCTACGTGGCATTGCAATAATGTAATTGATTAATATGCGACGCTAATGCGCTATGAACGACTGAACAACTCTCTCCTCCACTAGTACTCCTTCGCCAACTTACTCCTCGCGCGGAGCAGATGTCCATACTTGAACATAACGAACGGGATTAAACTCAGCACAGTTCCGAACATCGCAAGGATCAAACCCGCATACTGACTTCCTACGTTGTGGAAGAAAGCGCTCGCGAAAAGTGGGGTAACAGCACCGAGCGTGTTCCTCATTAATCCCTGACCAGCGATAGCCGAGGAAGACGTCTCGCCGTAACAATCGGCAGTGTAGGAATATGTGCTCTCGAAGACGAAGAAGATACCGAATGCGATAGGTGCGAGACCGATGACGGGGCCAACCCAGCTCAAGTATCCGTATTGTGTGAAAGAGTAGATGAAGAGACCGATGGGCAACCAGACAGCGCCGAACATGGCGCCATAGAGACGGTGTTCGGGAACGATGCGAACGTTGGGGTCTTCTTGAAGTTGGTTGTACTTGCGCATCTGGAGGTGGTGGGCAGCCCAGCCAAGGAAAGTACCGATGGCAAGAGAAATGTAAGGTAGACCGCTGACACCTTCGGACCAGCCACGCTTCTCGGTGAAGGTGATTGGGATCACTGAAAGGAACAGGAAGACGACGGCCCAGCAGAAGGCAATCCAGAGACCGAAGGCGAAGACGACAGGTTCTGTGACAAGCATGCGGATGGCCTTGACGGACGAAGCCTTCAGCATAGACTTAACATCGGGGGTGTAGATATCGTCTTCCGCGACGTATCGCTCATCTCCAGTTGCCTTTTGCAGTTGCTTGGCTCGCTTGTGTAGTCTGGCACCGCCGCGAGTCTCGGGGAAGGCGACGAAGATGAGAATCAAGAGGGGAATATTGGCGAGGCCCTGAATACCCTCAACCCATCGCCATCCGAGCGCTTGGTCGATGAAGCCGGCGTAGATGGGTGCAGCGACAGTACCGAAGATGGCGACGAAAGCGAACATGGCCATCGGTCGGCCACGCTTGTGGGGTTCGTACATGTCATCGAAAGTACCACCGACGAGAATGGTACCGACACAGCCGAAGAGACCGAGTAACAGACGGAGGCCGATGATGGTGGAGATGTTCTGTGCGAGTGCGAGACCGATGAAGATGAGCGAGAAGCAGAGGAAGGCACTGGCGTATACGATCTTGCGTCCGACAAGCTCACAGAAAGGAGCCAGTACCATGGGTGCGATGGCACAAGAGATGTTGAAGGTGAACAGTCCAAGCTGACCGTAGATTGTGTCAACGCCGAACTCCTCGCACATCCTGTTGATGCCCGAACTGTATGCCGTTGTTGCGAGACCGATGAACAGTGTCATCAAGTTCAGCATCGTGGTGATACTGCGCTTGTACCAGGG